CAGTATTTTAACTCGGTATTTGAATCCCATAGTCAATCCCATCATTATCATATAGATGTCATCAAAGGAAATAACCTGATAAATCTCAACCATATTTTTATAGATAAAGCCAAAATTGAATCGTATCTCAAAAATATTAATATTAATAAAGGCGCTGGTCCTGACGGGATTCCCCCAATTTTATTGAAGCACTGCTACAAGCAATTATCTGAACCGCTGTTTAGATTGTTTAATCTTTCATTGAAAACGGGAGAGATGTCATATGCCTGGAAACAGTCCTTTGTGACACCTGTGTTTAAGTCCGGTCATAAACGGGATATAGAAAATTATCGTCCGATATCCAAACTTAATACTATCCCCAAGCTTTTTGAGAAAATTGTGTATGACGTTATATACCCCACCATTAGACCCGTCTTGTTGCGCCAGCAACACGGTTTCATGACTAGAAAATCTACAGAGAGTAATTTATGCGAATATCTTGATATTGTTTACAAAGCAATGGATGCAGGGCTACAGGTGGATGCTGTGTACACCGATTATTCAAAAGATTTTGATAAAATATCTCACGAAATTCTAATCAAAAAACTAGACCAAATCGGTGTGCACGGTGCTGGCTAGCATCTTACTTGCGTAATCGTAATCAAGCAGTAGCAGTTAAGGGGTTCTGTTTTTCGTTTTTACCAATATCTTCGGGTGTCCCACAGGGCTCGCATCTCGGTCCCCTTTTGTTCAATATTTATATAAATGATGTTCTTTTACAATTCCAACATTCTAACATACTCCTATTTACTAATGATATAAAGATTTTTAAAATTATTAAAAACGAACATGACTGTGAACTACTACAAGAAGATATTAATAGATTATACTCATATTGTACAAATAATCAATTGTTCTTAAATATTAAAAAATGTAATGTTATAACATTCAGCAGAAAAAAACAGACCTATAGAATTTGACTATAAAATAAATGATGTGTCGATATATTGGGTAACCGAGTTGCGGGACCTGCATAATTATATATTAACATTTAAATCTCATATTGATAAAATAGTTAACAAGTCATATAAGATGCTTGGATTTGTCTTACGAACTACTAAAGACTTTAAAAAGCACTCAACCCTAATTATTTTGTATAACTCGTTGGTCCGCTCAATATTAGAATATTGCTCATCAGTTTGGAATCCTCAATATAATATTTATATAGAGTCAATTTAAAAGATTCACAAAATTTTCTGAAGCATATTCAATTAAGATTAACGGGCAATGCCTCTATATGGTGTAGGCTAGCTTTTGACCTAATATTTCGCCGTACTCTCAGGGATCAGATGTTTTTATATAAAATCATTCATAATAGGGTTTACTCCATACCACTTCTAAACGAAATAAGTTTCAGATGCCAAAGGTTAAGTGCTAGAAAGAAACTTTTATTTTGTACTTCCACTATGCGCACAAAATATGGCAAGAACAATTTTATAACTCGTGCATATAATTCTTATGATAAAAACATTTTTATTTTATTTTATTTATTTTCTATGTTATGTGGACAGTTTAAGAAGGAAATTGAAGCTGTGATGGATAATAGTTAATTAATAGCTAAATTATCATTTTACTTAAATATCACACTTTACTTTGACTTAACTTCGCTTTAGTTTTTGCACACCTAAGTTTGTCATGATGTTCGCTTGTTGTCGATGCATTACTTAACAGTGGAAATTTTATTGTTAAATGTAAGATTAATATGTGTTACGTAATAGACTAAAATTATGTATGTTTCCCTTGAAGATAAAATAAATAAAAAAATTCTTAAAATATTACAGGAGTATTAGAAGAAAATATTTATTTTTAAATTACTTTATTAATAATATTAATTTTATTAATTGTAGTTTTAGTTTTTATGTTAAATCTGTTATTTTAATTTTCTAATGAAAAAAGCTACTTTGAGTATTAAACCAAAGGAGACGGCATCGCAAGGCATACAACCCCCCAATTTTGTACCCCTCTGTAAAAGGTACGAGAGTCCGACTCATACCCGTTATATAAAACTAGTTGCTCCGCGTCGTGCGTCATTTCGAAGTGATCGTGCCAGTAAATCGAGCTCCGACAAAATGCCGAATTGCAGTGTATTTACATGAAAAAAAAAAACAATCAAAAACGTCAAGTATATAAAAGGACAATGTGACTTTTCAACTGTGAGTATTTTTAATATAGTATTAAAGTAATTTTATCATTTAAATGCGTACTTTGTGAATATTATTGCCCAATACCGAGTGTGGCCATCATAGTTCATAAAGTGAAAAATAATCTATTTTTAAATAAATATATTTTACTACACAAGTTATATATATTAACGAAAATATAATTCCTAATAACTACATCAATTTGTGATGAATAATAATCATTAAATATAAATGTGTAGTGGATTTTGTTAAATGATGTATATTCTGCTCAATTTAATACGATACTGAATACTATATAATTAAATATAATCGATAACTAGTATTTATTGAAATATTATACAAAATACAGGCCAAATAAGTCAAATAGAAACTTGCTACCTCGCAGCAAAAGTGTGCAATTTTTATAAAAATAAACTGATATCACTGCAACCGAAAGTATTGCACTATAATGATGAACGCCGCAACTTTAGCTATCGATAAGTTAATTAATTATGCGGGTTTGTCTGCCGAACCGGTTTGTAGTTTTTATTTAGATTTTATTGTAAAGTAGTGAATTTTTCTATTATTGGTTTGTTTTTACAGATTTCCAAGAGATCCTCTTAGGCGGCAAACTTGGATATTAGCTTGTAGAAACCATGAATTTGACACTGCTGTACTAACCTTGAACTTGTGGAGGTAATGTTTGGCTGTAATTAAATTTAGATTAAATATTTTTATTATTACCTTTGACACCAATATTATTCTACTTGAAAATGTTTTATTAAGTTTACAAAAGCATTATTAACCTATCAAATTTAATTCATATATTTATATAACTATTCTTGTAATTGTAAACTTATGTAGTATAATTTTTGTACGCCATAAATGGCAAAACATGTAGCTCGTTTTAAGTTTTTTAACACTTGTATTTTATTTACTCATGCTTTACAAAATAAATATCTTTATCATATATATATATATATATATAATTATTTATTTTAGGGTGATCGTGTGATCGTGGTGATTGCACAATATCGTCTACATCGAGAAAAGAAAGCTGGATGTTCCGGCAAAATTCCATAAGTTATCTCGAAAGTCACAATTCGAAAAAATATCCTTATATAGCACAAACTAGTCCTATTCCCACTGCGAGTACGAGCCAACACTTAGGTCAAGGAAAATTAAAATGAAAAAATGCCTTGACATAAAAAAACAATAGCATCAACAGGCTTCACAAGTTTGCAAGAAATACTATGCCCTAATACTTAACTATTACTCACCAAAAGCCTATCGCTATGTACGTAAAACTTTAGGAACATGTTTGCCTGCATCACGTACATTGACTAAGTGGTACACTACATCATACATCGATCGCCGACCAGGGTTTACTCAAGAAGCGATTACGGCATTAAAATTGAGAGCGGAGAGTAACCCTGATAATTTTTTTTATTGTACCTTGGTAATGGATGAAATGAAAATTAAGCAATTGACAGAATACCATGCTAGTAGCCAAAGGCATTATGTATATAACCAAAATGTCTTTTAGAACTTGCATGGTACTCCGTCAATTGTTTTATTTTCATTTCATTTGTCAATAATATACAATATAATTTGTTGTCAGAGTTACTCTCTAGTCTAAGTTTTAATACAGTTAACGCTTTTTTTTTGTGTAGCCAAGTCGGCCATAAATTGTACTGTACTTTGTATGTGATGAAGGCAGACCAATTTCAAAACTTTTGATATTTCGCACATATTGTTAAGCTTTCGGTGAATAGTAATGTAAAGTTAAAGCAAAACATCTTTCTGGGGAATACTTAGCCCTAGGTAGATGTCACGTTTTATTTTTAAGCAGCTGTCTGCTTTAAAGTTCACTTTGTTAAACTATTATATAGTGTAAAACTTTTTGTTTTCCTAATTTATTAAATATTTTCCAGATAGTTCATTTAATAACTCTTGAAAATCAACAACTTTTTTCAAATAGCGATTTTGTGATTGAAGCCTTATAATAAAAACAAAAACTTGGTTAACACCATCTAAGACTATAAACTTTTCTTTTCTTTTCTTTTCACAAATCTGATTTTTAAAATAAGTTAACTAAACCTATTTCGATTTGATAAATGTTTTAAATTTTATCCTGCATAATGTAAAATAAACCTGTAACAAAATAATAAACTTATTTTCAATCATTTCTAAGTCTAAGCTAAGCTTAACGGTCAGCCGCCGTAGAGTCTACATTAACTGAGGATGCCTCGTGTAGAGGCGAAACACGTGTCGTATTGTCGTCGATGATGTGTCACCTGGAATAGTGGTGTTGGAAGTAGTGGTGCCGGGAAGTTGTTGGGAGTAGTGGTGCAGGGACTAGTGGTGACGGAGTTAGTGCATGCAATTGAGGGAGGGCGGGAGGTGCTCTTCAATCCAGGTAAGACACATCATTGTATTTAGTTAGCGGAAGGTTGCAAGGAAATTTATATGTATATTTTTACGATCATTTGATTAAATTACGTAATCAGCGTTTTAATTATCCAATAAAAATTCTAAATCTAAGTATTTTCAAGTACATTTTTGAAAAAAAAATTATTGTTTGAATCACAACGAAAGTGGTTATAAAAGTTATAACACATACGTTATTTCCACTCAAACTTTTAAGCAACAACGACACCTACGTTTGAACAGAGTTTTCTAATATACTTAGATTTCAATTTTGAATTAAAGTTACGATCAAATCTGGGTTCGAATAAAAAGAACTAAATGCTATACTAGTTATCATTTAATAAATATTTCGCAATCTTAATTTGTGATGTATTTTATAATAACGGAAAATCCTTACAAATAAGTTCGATTTCAGCGAACATAGTAAGCATAGGGCGAGGCGTAGGTGTAAGCCGAGTACGCTACAGGCGCGGTGTAGGTCGAATAGGCGGAGTAGGCGACGGGTGCTGTGTACGCCGCTGCTACAGGTGCAGTGTATGCGGCAGCCACAGGGTATTCGAACACAAGAGGCTTGGCGGCTGCGAACGCCACAAGAGCAGCGAATAGTACCTGTAATAATAATCATGAATTTAAAGACAATGTGAAAATATATTTATTACGACAAACAGGAAGCTACACAGAATCTCGTTACTATGTACACAGCCGAAACAAAAATTTGCGCATAAACATTTCTGGTTTACTATCAGCTCGTAAAAGCCAGTCTTATCCCGTTGTTTTTGTTCAAAATCGTTTTGAAATTTTGAGGCTACTACTATGTGGCACAATCTTGTATTTTGCTTGTTGCTTGAATCCTTTTCAGTGCATGTTATTCAAACTCCTTTGATTCTTGTCAAGTGTATTCAGTAGTTTCTGTCGTGATCAAAATTAGCTAGGAAGACATTATAATTTGTCATAAGCAGGGCCAAAAGCATTTAGGTCTTTTCCAAACTTTAAAGATTTATATAATTTATGCCCTTTTCAAACTGGTCAGCAAAAGATGCTATCATGACATTTATTTTCATATAGTAAGTACTTGATTAATATACTTAATATACAAGGCAAATAATTATATTTAGTGCGTTAAATTTTTAGCCTCCTAAATTTGCAAAAAATATAAAGTTTTACTTTTTTAACGAGAATTACTACAGCTATTTATTGGGTCTTTTGATCTGAAATATCTCCTCTTTGGTTACGAATTCCAAATTCAAATTTATAAATTCACTTAGCTGGTATATTTAAGTTTTTAAAACAGTCATTCATTTGTTTTTTTCCTTATTTTTTTTTTGGCGTCGCTTATTACCTCTCTATGGAAAACATGAATATATAATATAATATATATTTACGAGTACGAGTTCTGCCGTGGCACCAGTGCTGCAGAAAGAGCTCGTAGGGTTAATTATGTGTACGGCGCTGGTGTCGCAAAAGAAACCACGGTACGTTTTCGGTTTCAACGTTTTCGTTTTCGAAATTTCGACCTTCAGAACCAACCCCGTGGACGGCCGGAGACCAAAGTGGAAAATGAAAAATTAAAGGCTATTGTGGAAGCGAATCCATCACAAAGCAGGCTTCGGGGTAAGTGATAAAACTGTATTAATTCACTTGAATTAAATCGGGAAACTAGAAAACCTTGAACGATGGGTACCTCATGAATTGAGTGAATCGAACTTGCAAACACGCGTCGACTGCTGTGTTACTTTGCCTAACCGACACAAAAATGAAGGGATTTTAAATCGAATCATTACTTGTGATGAAAATTGGACACAGTACGATAGTTGGAAGCGCTCGTCATAATGGCTGAACCCTGGAGACAATCAAATCCTGCCCTAAACGAAAATTGACTCAGAAAAATTTACTTGTAACTAGCACTGGTGTTGTTCACTACAGCTTTCTAAAATCGGGCCAAACGATTACGGCAGATATCTATTCTCAGCAACTGCAACCATGAAGGAAGAACTAGCTGCTAAACAACCGAGATTGGTCAGTCGCTCTAGGCCACTGCTGCTTCACGACAACGCAAGACCACACACTGCACAACAAACAACCACTAAGTTAAATGAGCTACAATTGGAATATCTGCGACATCCACCTTACTCCTCGGGTCTTACTCCAACAGATTACCATTTTTTACGGAATTTGGACAATTTCTTACAAGGAAAAAAATTCAACTCCGATGCGGCAGTCCAAACCGCCTTCAAAGAGTTTATTGATTCTCGCCCCCATGGTTTTTTTAGTAAAGGGATCAATGAACTACCTATGAGATGCCAAAAGTGCATAGATAACAACGGTGCATACTTTGATTAATTAAATATATTTTACAAAAAATTGACTTTATATCCCTCCCATACAAAACGCCAATTTCATATGTAAGGACCTATTATTTTAATGTGTAACAATGTGTCAGGAAAAAGCGTCAAAATTTACAGACGCCTGCTACTGTGCGATCGCAAATAGAGAAGAGAGATCTTTAACGTTGGAATATTTACAGGCTGATATGAACAAGGGGGAGGTATCTAATAATATTATAATCAACAGAAGTAAAATAAAATAAAAACTAGAAAAACAATACTCACAAATTTAAACATTTTGAAGAGTGTTTTTAATATTGATTAAGTTGCTTATGTTGACACTGCTTGTTTGTAATGATGTCCAGTACACAACGCTTCTTTATATATAAAACGTTGATATGCAATGATGGACGATGGTAGACCGGATAAGTGGCCAAATATCCTCGTCCGGATAATTAGCAGTATGGTCACGCACAACCTTACGTACTAACGTACTGGACCAACGAGTATTGTTATAAGGTCAAGGACATATAAACGTCAAAATAAGGATTTCGAATTAGTTTAGGTGACGATATTATCTGTAGCAACTTTTTATTTTTTGCTTACTTAACCTGTTAACCTGTTTTATACAAAAACGAGAACTCAGTCTACTCGATAACCATCGAAAACTCGTTTTTGGTTACTTACTAAATAGAATAATGTTGCCTAACCTCAGCGTTTGTATACCTGTAAGCTTCTCATTCGTATTCTAATCTTCGTATTTAATGTCTTCTTCTTCATCATCATCATCATCGGCCTGCAAAAGCCCACCGCTACTCATAGGCTACTCTTGTGTCATCTCCATGTAGTGTCTTAATATCACTATCAGATTTGATATAAAATAACTAAACCTTCTTTAAAAAAATAGGACTCCCGATTCATTGGTCTAATAAGATGGATATTTGCCTTAACTGCCACGCTTCGCAAACAGGTATACAAATACAGATATATTTTATTTTATTTTATTAAGTTGTTATCATGATACTTGTTGCTACTCATCCCCTATAAAATTTAACTCTATTGTTTCTTGGGTTGATTTAAGATAATAGATACCTTTAGGCTGCCTCTACATGGCAAGTATATTTCGTGGATATATATTTTTTTTTAATTAGGCTGTCAAACTTTTACTTAACATCAGATAGACTATACATGATGTTAAGTGGATGCTGTGGCGTGCACAAAGATACTTATTCTACCTATCCTCGATTCAAAAACAAAATACCGGTTAATTGTCACCCTTGATGATTAAAATCTAATACGTCATTTTTTGTTAAAAGGGTCTCCTGTTCTTTATGTTCACCATACAAAACACACTAATTTTGAACTGATATTTTACGTTAGTATTCTGTGAGAAAGTAGTCCTTTCCCGGTCGAACCGATCCATTTGTTCATCAAACATAATATAGCTGCAGCGTGGCTCAACCACTTATACTTTTTTTTAAAGAATAAGGAAGAATAATCTATCTACATCTATACTCGATTAAGAATCAAAATGATAATAGTTGCTATCCCTGAGGACTAAGATGGAATGCCTCATTTCCAGTTAAAAAATCTTCGTTTCATTATACGCACTATATAAAATACAGCAGCATTAAACCGCTATTTTACGCTGGTATTCTGTGAGAGCGTGGTTCTTTCCCGGTCGAGCCAACCCCTTTGCGCAAAAATGAAATATTTCATGCACGCGAAGTTTGCCAATACACCACTAATGCTACAATTCAGATTCCGCACCATTACTATTTTAGAATGCCTGTTTATTCTCTATTTCCCTTTCTTTCTACTTTACCAATACCCACGACCACGAATACAATAAAAAACGTAAAAAAAAATGTTATAAACTTTGTTCCCAATCAAATATAATAATCCTAACGAACATTACCCCTAAACTACATTTGAATTACAAGTTACAACATATGAGGCCTTTTACCCGTTTTTTGAATTTTACTGAAATTGTTATTCGTATTTTCATCCTGAATATTTAAAAATTACTAAAACGCTTTTTTCAGCGCAGTGGACTTCCCTGATTTGCTAAAACTATTTCAGAATAAGAAATAAAGCATGATCCCAAAAGTGAGTCGCGGGTAATACTCTTTACACTATGAATTTGTATAGCCATGGGTCTTGCCTATTAAGATTTAATTGTTAAACAAAATGTACGAGTATATAGGTAAATTTGTACGAAGATTATGATGAAATAGAAATTGCTTACAGCAAGCATAGTTTTTGTTAAAACTTCATCTAAATTTCAAATCAAAATTCGTGTGTTAGAATCCGTCATTCGACTACTGCCGCTTAAGTTTGGTTTAATGTTAAGATACAAACATACATTTTAAGTTTATTTGAAGTAACACTCGCGAAAATTAGCAATGTAAAAAGCGTTATTAGTATTGACAAAATAGACAAATATAAATATATAAAATCAAAAAATGCTTTTTTATAGGATAGGGTGACAAACGAGCACACAGTCCACCTGATGGTAAGTGGTTGCTGCAGCCCATAGACATCTACATCTATCCTCGATTAAGAATCAAAATGCAGATGCGTTGTCACCCGTGAGGACTAAGATGGAATGCCTCGTTTCCAGTAAAAAGGGTCTCCGGTTTTACACTCACCATAGAAAGAGAGATTAAGCCCCCGGTCTATACTATATAACGCTCTAAAATATTCTTTATTATCTTTTATATTTATACCAGCTCTAATTTTTGTACGACCAACTTTTATTTTTGAAGTACATATATGTAATCCATAATGATTTAATTTCATCAATACGTATAAAAAAAGCCTTAAAATTTTACTACTTGTTAAATTAACTTAAAATAATATAGTTAATAAAAAAAGAATATATAGTTTTGACTACATCAACTGGTCCTTCACTGCTGGCCGTATGAAGACGCTTAAAGTCGCTCAGCGAGCTATGGAGAGGGCTATGCTCGGAGTTTCTCTACGTGATAGACTCAGAAATGAGGATATCCGCAGTTAAATCAGAGTGACCGACAAAGCCCAACGGATTAGTAAGTTGAAGTGGCAATGGGCCGGCCATATAGCTCGAAGAACCGATAACCGATAAGGAAGAAAGGATCTCGAGTGGCAGCCTCGTACCGGTAGGCGTAGTGTAGGGCGACCCCCCACTGATAATACGACCAATCAGAATCCGCAGGACCGTGCTTTGTGGCATTACTTGGGGGAGGCCTATGTTCAGCAGTGGACTTGTGAAGGGTTGTAATGATGATAGCAGCAGCTATCTGATGTCATCTGAAGGAAATTATATGGAACACCAACGCACGTCTATATTTTTCACTGGCAACAAAGAAAATCTACCACTAAAAGTGTTATTCGCTTATTTTGAAACGTATATATAAATTATATTCTTTTTTGGATATATTATACCTTTAATAGTTTTAAACTAATATGTCGTCCACTGGATTTGGGGAGAATTAAAGGTGATATACTTTAATGAGAAACTGTATACGGAAAGAATTGGAATGTTTGTTATTGTAAACAGCGTTGAAGAAAACAAAAACTGCCAGCGTACCAGCGAATGATCTATGTCAGTTATCGGAAATTATATGGAAACTTCTTCATTTCCTCATCTACTTACTATTTAATCTAAGAACAACTATTGTATACCAATTTAACAAAATATGAAAAAAAAATGTATGTGGCTGCAACGCAGACCGCATTGCATGCAATTTCCCGTTTAGTGCTTATTTGCAAATCCTTTATTTTTTCTACTAAAAAGTTTAAGTGTCAATTTACCACGTGCTTGGCGGTGGATGAAATCATCGTGAGAAAACCTGCATTTCTGAGAAATAAGAAAAAATATTTCGAAGACATGTGAAGTTTGCCAACGCAGCGTGACGGGTGCACTTACTTGCCCTAAAACCTTCTCGGAAATGAGGAGAGGCCTGGGCCCGATAGTGGAATGTATATAGGCTGTACCTTTAACTTTAACTTTAAATTCGATAAAAAACATGCAAAAGCACTCTGTAGTGGCGGTGTAAAATTATCCACTACCTCATAACTTACCGTAGGTATCGTAAGAGATGAAAGCGAAAACAAACCAGCAGATCGGTAGCAGCGTCTACCTAATAACTACTAGAAAATTAAAAAAAACTGCGGTCACCAACCCACCTTCCAACTATGGCAAAAATGGGACAATCTGTGGGGGCTCCAGTTCTACAATGAACTTTTGATATGCCGACGGTACCAGTAATTGCAAACGTGTCGAAGTCCACTTGCTCGGATAGTGCAATGGACACCCTTTCAAACAACAGAATGACGAAAGGTAAAATTCGGATTTCTAAAATCGGAAAAGAAAAACCAATTCAAGTAACTTCAAAAAGGGAAAATAAAACACAACAACAACACTCTTGTGTAAGGCTATCTCTCTAATATTATAAATGTCAAAATATGTTTCTTTGAGTGTCTGTTCTTCAAACTTAAACAGCTGGAAGCATTATATTAGAAAGAAGTCCTTAGAAGAATTAAGAAGAAGAAGTCTGAAGAATTTAAATAGTATTTGACAGCTGTCAAAGTCGTAGATTAAGTAGTTTTAGTCGTAGATTGGGGTATCGTAGATAGGATATTTTTTATGAAAATTTTATAAAGTTTTGTTATGTGGTCATACATATACACACATACTTGATAATAAAAATTAGGCATTTAGCCAGTATCAATTCATATGAATATTAGAAAAAAATGATGTGCTAATTTAAAACGTTATTATTCATTACAATTTAAAGATTTGTCACTACGATTATCAAAAAACTGTGTTAACTGCTTTCAGCAGCAAATATTAAACGAAATGGAAATGTCTTTAACGTAGTTGACGTAACATAGTGGAGTGATAACAAGTAACTAAAACACCTAACACGCACATCGACTCGTTAATATTAAATATGTATTAAGACCGCAAATTTAACGAGAAGGTATTAATTACTTGAGAACGATTGATCTATAAGCCTCTACGTTAACGTTGTATAATCTTTTTTGTCCTTGGATGTCTATAAATTAAGACTTAGTATTCGATGCGTATTCTTCTTCTTATATTAAATATCAATTTAGAAGTTAACATTTAGAGAATTTATTATTTATCTCATCACACCAGTGATACAATAACGCTTTTAAAACACTTACAGATCAGCAAATCTTGCAATTCATTCCAAACACTATATTTACCAATCCAATGCACGCTTTAGCAGTGTATTAGAGCCATAACAGCAAATAATCACCAAATAGTCACCGAAGAACACTAATTA